GTAATATTTGGGGTCACAAGTTTTTGCCATGGATATTTTGTGGGTCAGAAGATAAAAAGTTTGGGAACCACTGGCCTAGGTTCATGAAAACAAGCGCACCCCGCTGTAGCCGTGTTTTACATTGGTTTAATTTGATTGGTCCAAAGCGTGACCATGTGACACCAATTCTGAAATATGATTGGTCAAAGTGTCGCAAGGCTTTTCCATCTCATCAACAACAAACGAGCACACAGACAGGAGCAGGAGGAAGGCAACATGGCCGAGGCGGAGGCAAGCGAAGTAAGTTACGGAGGAATCTTTCAGGAGATCTTCACGTCCCCGCTGAACCTCACGCTGCTCAGCCTCTGTCTGTTCCTGCTCTACAAAATCTTCCGCGGGGACAGGCCGCCGGACCTGGGCGAGGTGGAGAAGCCTCTGCCCAAGATGAAAAAGAGGGATTTTACCCTGGTAGATCTGAAGCCCTACGACGGACTGCAGGACCCGCGGATCCTCATGGCCGTCAACGGGAAAGTGTTCGACGTGACCCGAGGCAAGAAGTTCTACGGGCCAGGTAATTAAGCGTCATTACGACTCTAGCTGCTTTAAAGCGTAAACAACACGTGAGTCACCTTTAAATATTTAAATTGTAAACACTGAACACACAACCTTCAGTACTTCCGTTGATTAAAAAAAAAAAAAAAAAAAAACCTTTGGTCAACTTTGTGCTGCTGGAATTTGGCGCCACGCCCCCTTTGTTTTCAGGCCCTGATCGTGTTTTTTCTCAGCGGAGGGGCTGTGGTGGGCTTGAAGCCAAAGATCGTCTATAAACGAAGATGAGCTCTCCTTAAACAAACCAAACAACCCTTTAAGTTTCAGCAGGAAGTGATTAGTTTGATATTTTATTTACAATTTTAGTGAAATCCAAACTTAGACATACTTATTAGATTATTTGTGACCCATTACAGTATTTCTGTGCAGATCTTTGTTGTTAAATCAACTAAAAACATTGTGTCAGTCATTTGTTTTCTCCAAAACTAAAAGTATTTGTGATTGAAAGGTCAGTTTTCATACATTTTTAGATGTTTAAATTATGTTGTTTATTGTATGGTTTTATTTACACCATTACAACACAACTTTTCATTTTTTGTGTGTGTTTTAAAACCTGTGCTTTTGTAACTACTAACGCATAAAAAGCATTTTGTAGCCAATTAATCCAGCCTAACTTGCTATTTAACATAGTAATATTATGTTTTATTGCAGCAAAGAACAAATGAAATATTTACCCAACCAAACAACATGAACATCAAAGTCCAAGCAGGGTCCATTTTAAACAAATTACACTACATTTGTGTAACAAGATGGAAAAACTGGGTAAAAATAAAAGTTTAAGCGTTATAGTGACCACCACAAATTGATAAATTTTCTTATATTTTCCTGCGTAGCAGTTTTCTGTAGAGATTCTTTGAGTCTGGTGGTTTTTGGAGCAACAGTTGTGCACAGTGTTGCACGTTGCTGTTTTTTATCTTATCTCAGATTGTGACCTGTGCTGTGTGTGACTTCTGACCCACTTGATAAGTGACTGTCGGGCTGTACGTGTACCACACCGGGTCCAAAGCCTGAAATCCTGGCTTTGATTTCACACATGTTATTTGTGTCTGAAAACACTTCTTCAGCCGGTTCATGTGATGAAACTGGATGTTTATCTTTAAGAAAGCATTAATTGTTTTAACACGGATAAGAAAGCGTTGCTCCACCTTTCAAGCTGGASTTTTAGACGTAGATCACCTTATGATCCGACCTGAAACTGTTCTGGTGCTGAAGTCTTCCACGTGGTGATTCTGTTTCCTGTTCTCGCAGAGGGACCGTACGGAGTGTTCGCAGGCAGAGACGCATCTCGAGGCCTGGCGACGTTCTGCCTGGAGAAAGACGCCCTGAAAGACGAATACGACGACCTGTCGGACCTTAACGCCATGCAGCAGGAGAGCCTGACCGAGTGGGAGACTCAGTTCACCAGTGAGTCACGTCTGTTAGCCTGTCGACGCCACGCTGCGTGTCGACGCCACACTGCTGCGTGTCGACGCCACGCTGCTGGCCAACAAAAATTTAATATGATGTCAGAATAAACACACAATTAATTAGGCCTGTCACGATAACAAATTTTGCTGGGCGATTAATTGTCTCAAAATTTATTGCGATAAACGATAATAT